AAGCGAAAATTGCCCAATCAAAAAAAAAAAAAAAAAAAAAAAGCCTAATCATCGGTGAAAATTCAGTCGGTCACTTCGAAAAGTACCTGGACGATATTGTCAGCCAGGTGCGGGACGTGCACGTGGCCGGCGGCGCCGTTGTCTGTCCACGTTCTGACAAGTGCTCGATGCAAATGCGAATTTTTGTCTGGCGAGTTCTATAGCCAGCTTCCACTTGTAATATTTATTTGATTCTATGATTGAATTTTCAGGAAATTTCGTGTTGCTTCCCCCCCCCAAAAAATAAAAAAAAATAAAAATAATTATCGGATTCTATCCTCTCAATTTTCATATTAATTTTGACGAAATTGTACAGTTGTAAGGAACTAAGAGCCGTGACCAACCATTCAGCTTTTTTTCATAACAAATTTATAAAAGTTTATTCAGTCGCGATTGTTAGTGCGTTCTTTTTTTTTTTTTAAGAACTAAAACTTCATTCTTTCTCAATTTCACCTTTCACCGGGGCGAGTCCGATGCGGCTTTTCAGCAAAATATTTGCAATAATATGTTTGTAATTGATAATAAGATCCTTTTGTATCACGTAGGAATTTGGCGGTTCGTGATTTTTTCTTTATTTTTCCCCATTTTTTTGGAAAACTTCGCTTATTTCTCGTTCACGCGCGTTTTCTTTTTTTTTTCTCCACTTTAAAGTTGTCTCCTTTCTCGTAAGCTCGCTTTTTGCGCTTGGCGTCTGCTACTGTCTTCCGCCGAATGTAAATATAAACCTTGATAATGAATGTATGCGGGCCATCTTTCCGGTCTGATGTAGGCATTATGAGATTGCCTGGAGATGAGGGAAGGACGGTATTTTCTCCCTTGGCGTGCTGCCCCAGGTTACTGCGGATTACCTGATGGACGTGTGCCTTCATATTTCCGTTGGGGCGCTTTTTTTTTTTTTTTTTTTTTGGCTTAACATTTGCTCCTTTCTATTGGTGGGGAGCTGCACCTGCTGGAATCTCCCTCAGCACACATGTGCTGGTAACCAATTCATTACGCTTTTTTTTTTTTTTTAATTAGTTGACACGACATCAAAACTACCGCCGTAAGTCTGGTCCGATACAGTCTGTCGTCGTAAAGCTATCGTCTTCTCCCCCGAATCAATCTTTAGCCTATTTACGCACGACATAAGGCGGCCGTCCTTCCCCAAACATAACGGACACCACTACCGTCTTTCCCCGAACATAACGCACAGGCGTTGTATTCGAGTTTTCGGACAAACAGATTGATGACTGGAGGAGAAGGCAGATGCGTTGTTATCCCCTTAATTGTGAGAGGTAGCTATGCTAGCAGGGGTCCTCTGTATAGGATTAGCAGTAGTGGTAAGTAGATAGTGGAAGGTGAAATTGAGAAAATAATATAGCTAGCTTAGGTTTTTTGGAAAATAAAAAAAATGAAATTCCGGCTGTACTGTTCGATTCGAACGGACATGTTGTATTCGCTTACAACGCATACGCGTTAGGTTCGGGGGAAGACGGTAGCCGATGTATGCAAACTATACGTCAGGGCGGATAATGTTGGTGGGTGCGATGTGTTGAGGGGACGATGGTAGCCACATGCACGTGGCAGACGTACAGAAGGTCACAGTGCTTCGACAATGTACCTTCCAGGTAAATCATCGTTTAGCACGGTCTGCCAGAAGACTCTTCGTTTTTTTTTTTTTTTTCTTTTGTGCGTGGTAGGATTAAATGTGTTGAGAAAGTCGGTTTGTCTAAGCCTATGTAGGCGTAGAAGTAGTGGTAGACC